AATCACTGACTCGCATTCTTTTTCCATTCTAAAGGGCTGTAATTTGGGGACGACTGTAGATCTAGTCAAACTGTCCGCCTCTGAGGGCATGGTCGCTCCTGCCTGCAGCTCAAATGACTCCCTCCAGCCCACGGCTTTCCTGGCTTCTCCACACACACTGACTGTGCCCAGCCTGAGTGCCTTTCCTTCCTGCTCCGGAACTATTCCCACCCATGGCTCGTCCCCTCCCATGATGGCAGCACCATCCTTAGAGCGGCCAAGCCCCACACCTCGTCGCTCACTCACTCAGTCATGCACAGGTGACCCACACTGCTAACCTCCAGCACCTCACCCCTCCTGATAATCCACAGAATAACTGCCTGACTGCTCTTTGCTCCTGGCTTCCCTACTCCTGAGCGTTGACTCATGTATTGCTCAGAGCTGCCTGGAGCTTGGCAGATCTCTCAGGACAGGCAGAGCCCTGATCAAGACCATTGGTCTACAGTTTATATTAGATGCGATTTCAGGGGTTATTTTTCTTCATGAATTTCTGTTATTTGTCGGAAATCTGTGTCACAGGATCTAACTTATTTCTTATCTGAAATCTCATTTAATCATCTTTTAAAATTCATTTTGCATACCAACCACAATTCCTCCTCCCACCCCTTCTCCCTCTCCCCCCTCTTATCCCCCAGCCCCTCCCCAAGCTTTTGTTTAAACCTCTGTATACCCGGGTCTTGTTACCTGTAGCGAAGGATAAGCCACAGGTATGCTCAGGGCTTGTGTGTGCTCGGCTGCTGGGAAGTTGCTTGGTGGTGGGAGATCAGTTTGTACGCCAACCTGTCAGAGGCGCATCTGTTGGAGGAACTAGATTTTTGTCACACTTTTAACTCAGGGGAGCCCAGAGATGTCCGCCCAACCCAGTGGGCTGGGGTAAATTCTGACTGGTGAGCAGACATGGTTCCAGCCTCTACCTCTCCTGCTTCCATATCCGTAAGGGAATGCTTTGTAGGTGGAGGGGAAACCTTCCCGGGCTTCATCCGTAAACACGGGGTATTTTGAAAACTCACTTCAAAGGGGAAGAAATATATATAAATAACGATGACCCCGAATCTGTTTCAGGTTTATTTGGAATTTGTTGAATCTTGTTACAAACTTCCTTGTCAGGAGCAAGTGAGTTCGAGATCCTTCCCAGCGCACAGGCTGAAAGGCACTGTGCCTGCGATCTGTTTCCTTTGTTTCTGGCTTGGTGCCTGTTTGTCAAATTCTTACTTTCTGTCTCCGTTATTAGAAAGTAGACACGGTAGACAAGGGCTATTTCTCGGGGACCACTGCCTCAAGAATAAGGAGGGGCTGGGAGGAGGGAGGACCGTGTCGGCAGATAGACAGGTGGGTGGATGAATCAATAAGTGCAGTCCCCAGCCTCAGAAGGACCATAACCTTCTGCCCTTTGATCCACTGGCTGCGCTGGTATAGCTGAGTCACGGTGAGGCCATTGGGTTCAGGCCCAGCAACAGCAACAATAATGATGACAGCAGCGACATGTTGAGAGTGAGTGGAGCCACAGTGACCAGAATTCCAAAGCACGTCCCAAGCTGTCTCTTAAACCCCTAACATTGGTATTCTTATACAAAAACAGACAGCTGGATGGCGCTGGAAATCCTTCAAAGCTAATGTAACATGAAACAAGCAACCACACTTTGCATGGTTCTGGGAAAGTATGTTCAGAATTTTAACTATTTATAATAGCATTTTAGCCTGGTCGGATGCTGTAGAAATGTAATCCCAGCTGCCCGGAAGGCTAAGGCAGAAACAGTTCCAATTCCAGGCCATCCTGGGCAACTTACTGAGGGCCTGACTTCGAAATGTAAAAATAATAATTTTAGAAAGATGTAAAGAAACTAGAGAGACGCCTCGGCAGCTAATAGCACTTGTTCTCTCAGAGGACTTGGTTTCAGTCTCCAGCACTTAACACTGCAATTAAACAGCCTTCTGTGACGCCTGTTTCAGAGGATCGGGTTCCCTCTTCTGGCCACCGAAGGAACTGCGTGTATGTCATGCAAATACAGACAAAACACCCATACACAAACTATAACAATAAATAAATTTTTTTAAGATGTAAAAAAAGGCCTGGCATACTGGAATAAAACTCGATACTTAGGATGCCTGTGGTCATGGGCTCAGCTCCCAGTATCAAAATAATAATAATAATAGGGCTGGAGAGATGGCTCAGAGGTTAAGAGCACTGATTGCTCTTCCAGAGGTCCTGAGTTCAATTCCCAGCAACCACATTGTGGTTCCCAGTCATCTATAATGAGATCTGGTGCCCTCTTCTGGCATGCAAGCATACATGGAAAGAATGTTGTATACATAATAAATAAATCTTTAAAAATAATAATAATAATATAAAATAGGGTATATATTATTATTAGAAGTCAGTGTATATTTGCTGTAGAACTATAGGAAAAATAGAACTTAAATTTTGATTCCGAACATCTGTTTATTCTTACACTACATTTTATCTTATTTTTGATAAATATTTTAAGAACTAGTAATAATGATGGATAATGGATAAAAAGAAGAAAATCAATTACTTTGCAGATTATAAACTCAAATTTATTTCCCAACTCTTCCTTTCAAACAGAAGGATGCATTGTGCTCTCCTCCTGTATATTTTATGTTGCAACGTCATCACTTACCGCATTTGGGGTATTTTTTATTTCAGCACAGGGGGACCTTGTACATCTATTTGCCATCTCAGCATCCTCCTGTGGCTGTGCTGTGGTTTATGAAGCCACACTCAGTGGCCTCTTCTGTGGTCTACTGTGACTTATGTAGCCACATCTTTCTTCCTAGACATTCACATTGCTTTTTTAGGGTTTTGTTGTTTGGTTTGGTTTGGTTTCTTACCATGACAGACATGGATGGTGTTATGTGAATGCCCATGTATACGGAGTTGTGAAGTATGTTGGAAGGATGCATCCTTGATTGGAGATCTACCACTCCCAAAGTGTGTGTTCATTTCTAATTTGGAGAGTTGTTCATAAACGTCTTAAAAAAGGAGGAATAGCTTCTTATTTATGTTCTTGCCCAAGCTAAGTGTTGCTATTCATTCTCTGATCCAATCCAGTAAGTCTAATTTCATTTTTAAAGTCTAATTATTTAACGTGTATGTATGTATGTGTGTGTATGCCTCTGTATGTGTTTGTACACCACGTATGCAGTACCACGGGGGCCAGAGGACAGCATCAGATCCCCTGAACTGGGTTTACAGGAGGCTGTGAGCTGCTGATGTGGGTGCTGGGAAGCAGCCAGGACACTCCAAGAGCAGCAATCCCTCTACACCTGTCTAATTTCTTATTTCATTACTACAGTCATGTTTATTTTCTGTGTATGAGCCAGGAGTCTTTTCTTCTATTTATTCACTACTGGAAGTTTATTTTCCTGGGAGTTTCTTGGGTACTCTGTCTTCTTATCTCTTTGCCAACAATCCTTTGGTAGGTTCGTATTCTACGTGTTATTACCTGTTTGTAGATGTGCAACTGCATGCTTTAGCTTTTTATTTTCATTTTGTATTAAAGTTCTATAAATGAGTGTGCATTTGCTACAATGTAGCCTTTCCTGAGAGCCTGGCATCACTGTGCCCATGTTTATAACTTTCTAACTTTGTAACCAGTTCCAGGAGTTCCAGCCTTGTCTTCTGACTTCCCTGTACCATACTCATGTGAGTGGTACATGCACACACATGTGGCAAAGCAGTCAGCCACATAAAATTAAATAAGTCTAAAAAAATTAACAGTAGAATCTATCATCTGCTTCCCTTTCCCATAAACTCAAGCAGCTGACTCCAAATCTCTGATATATCCTCACAATACTGAGGTCTGAGATGCTGTTGCTAATCTTCTCATTTCCTGCTAATCCCTAACTCTGTGTAATGCCACAGTGGTTTATTTGAAGCATATTGTTACTATTTTATTATTTTGTGTGCGTGTGTGTGTGTGTGTGTGTGTGTGTGTGTGAGAGAGAGAGAGAGAGAGAGAGAGAGAGAGACTGAGACTGAGACTGTGGGTGCATATTTGCCACGTCATTTGCATGGAGGTCAGGGGACAACTTTATAGAATCTGTTCTCTCCTTCTGCCCTGTTGAGGCAGAGTCTCTTTTGTTCCTGCCAAGCTATTTACTCCAGGCTAGAAGGCCTGAAACTTCCAGATGATTCTCCTGTCCTTGTGTGTTTGTGGGGTGTGTGTGTGTGTGTGTGTGTGTGTGTGTGTGTTCCAGGGATTGAGCTCAGGTTGTTGAACTGCTGAACTCAGTCTAAGGAAGAAGACCTTTCACCCCCTGAGCCATCTCGCTGACCCATTTGCACTTTTGAGACTGAACTGAGGGAAAGGGAAGAGATTCATCCACAATTCCTGCTTGGTCCTGCCCTGTCATTCAGGGCCTCCACAGGGCCTGTCACCCAGAATGCTAACCCCTCTATTTATTTCTGGGATTAAGCACTTCCAAAATGCTGAATCTTTCATTTGACACCCTGTATCGAAGCCACATACTCCTTTCCAACCTGCTAGCCACTCTACTTTCTGTAACTCTGAATTGAACAATTTAAAGATCCTAACTTGTTCTATTTAATATCTTCAAGGTTCATATGTATTGTAATGTTGATCAGATCTCTTTCCTTTTTGCCGAGGTCTAGCCTTAGCTGTGGGTTCAGGTTCTGAGACAGGAAAGGGGCATCGGCACAAGGAGGAATTCCGACCACCAAGTGGATTGCGCTCAGGCGGCCCTGAATAGCTCAAGCCGTCTTTATTTACTGTTTAACAGAGTTTTTCCTACCAGGCTTACATGAATACCTTTATTATTGGTTCCTATTTTTGACTTTTAAGAAATACATAGTATTTTAAGAAATACATCATAATGATTATAAAAGTCCCCATTGTTCCCCTTTATGCTTCCCCAAATGCACTTTCCCACCTCCTACATATCTTATTCTAAACACAGAGCTCAGCATTTTTGCAGCCTTAACTAAATACCGAGCCAGACACATCCTGCTCTGGCAGCACTGATGTCAGCTGGCAGCTACTTGAGGTGACAAAGTCAAAAAGTAATAGACATGGGTGCGATGCTTTAAGGATGACGATATTCAAACCTGGACAGTTCTTTCATGTCGGCAAGAAATGCTTCTTTACAGTTCCGTTTTCTACAAGAGGGTCCCCGTCTCCATCTCTTTGTAAAAGGCAGACTTCGGTAAGGCAGGCTTTTCCTATCTCACTCTACCAGACTTCTCCCCCGACTGTGTTTACAGATTGCAGTGTAGGGACCCCCTGTGGGGAATCAATGGCTATTAGTATCTGTTATTAGTACAGATACTAATAATCTCCGTGGCAATTGAGTATCACGAGACAAATGCTGTGCTCTCAGTCCTTGTTTAGTTTATTTGCAAACTCGCTGTTTTCCGCTCTTGTCTTTAGATGCTTCTCCCTGCTGGGAAAGACACCTCAGGGACTGGGATGTATGTCAGTTGCTGCTCGTTTTTCTCTTTACTGATGTTGTCCTTACTCCATCGGCTCCTGGTGCCTGGAGTTAACTATCTGAGCATTTTCCTCAGCCCTAGGAAGCAAGTGGCAGACGAGGAAGGGAGGTGAGCTTGCTCCACAGAGCAGAACAGAGCAGCTGAGGCCCTTTGGTGGCCCCGTGCTTAGTGTTTCTTGCTGCCTGCTTGAATGACTGATGTATTCCCACAGCCCATTCCAAGGCAGGCTGCCTTTTTAGTCCTGGCTTCTCACTGAGGCTGGGATTTCCTGAGGAGAGAGTAGAGAGGCTTTCAGCCCTTCATGTGGTACCTTGATTCCTTTCTCCCCGAGTCAGCTGACTGTAGTGTGGATCTTATAACCAACAACAACCTTTCACCTGCCATTTGCTGAAGTTCGCCAAAGCTGTAGCAATTAGGATGGGCAGAGACACCAGGGCAATAGTTCTGGAACCAGGTCACCCATGAGGCACTTGGTTATCTGTCTGAAGCTTCGGGAAGTTTCTCAGTGCCAGCCAAGCCAGCATCCATGAACACGCGAGGGACGAGGTAGGTGAGGAACTGCCTGCATCCCAAGCATCATGCACTGAGCCTAGCTAGAAGCTGTGCGATGTGGGGTGATGGACTTGGCAGGTTCCTCCCGGGGAGGCAGGTGACCGACCTGGGAATGAATATCATGAATAAGTAAGCCACCTGCCTGGCTTTGTGACACAATTGACCTCTCCCACTAGTGTTAAGTTTCTATAAAGAAGGTTTCTTGTATGTCCCTGAGAGTCTTCCATGTTCTCCACACCCCAGTGTGGAGCTCAGAGCATACAGTGGTGAGGGAAAACTTGAATTCACAGTGGAAAGGGGCCAGTGCTGCCTTCCTCAGACCTCAGTGTCAAGAGGGGCTGATGAGACAGATCACAGTGGACACCCTTTGTTTGGGGAATGGGAAGATCAGTTTTCCACTTAATAATTACTAGTGGATGGAAAATGCATGTGAGCTTGTCCAAGCAAGATTCTTCTAAATCTTTAGTCTGGTTGAACATTCCTGAAGTTGTACCCTGGGAGAAAATTATTTGCAAAGTAAGAAGACTCTGGAGTTTATATTTTATCTCCACCCTGTCCATCATAAATGTGTTTAAACATGTAGAACTGGTGTGTACGTATAAGGCTGTGTGTGTGCATATGTAAGACTGTGTGTGTACATGTAAGACTGTGTGTGTACACATAAGGCTATGTGTGTACATGTAAGGCCATGTCTGTATCTATAAGGCCATGTGTGGATATGTAAGACCCTGTGCGTGCATGTAAGGCTGTGTATGTATATATAAAGCTGTGTATGTACATATAAGGTCATGTGTGCACAGTAAGACTCTGTGTGTGCTAATTGTAGGGAAATGGCATAGCAAGAACTCTCAGGCCATAAGGACCAGTTGGTGAAAAGCCACACCGTGATACATTGGCATGTTAATGCTGCGGCAGTCACAGGCTGCATATACAACTACGGTCACAGATTATGTCACCCCGTGATGATGTCATCACCTCAGTTTATGTGAGTTTAGCACATGATGCTTGAACAATAATAAATCACTAATGATGGATTTTTCAGAATGGATCCCTGTTGCCGAGCAACCGCATAGTTATGAATAGACTAAACCATGACAGGCTAGCAGTTCATAGTGGCTTCTGGGATTCTGACCAAGACCTGAGATCCAGCCCTGACCCAGCTCACCCTACAGCCCCTCAAGCTGAGACTCTCCGTGGAAGAGGCAATGGTGTTTCCTGCCTGCTGCAGCTCCTCGAGTGGCTTCCATTAGCAGCCGATACTTCCTGTCTCTGGCCTGTGGCTCCGGGCTCTGGCTGTGAAGCGCAGGCCACTCAGCTGATGGGCGCTGAAGGTGCTCAGCTGGCCGGCTGTCAGTTGAGGAGAGTCAGCTGACTGGATGGGGTGCGGCAGCCCCTGAAGCCTCTCTTCTGTCCTAAGGTGCATTGGAGAGGCCGTGTCTCTGCTCACATTTCTGACACAGCAAGTCCGTCTGGCAGCTAACAAGACAAGGCCAATCCTTTACCCCAGGTAGCTCGTTATAGCCTTCTGTGCCTAGGATGCCAGCTGGTGTGGACCCCGTGGGTCATAGTTCTCTGCCTTGCTTGGTAGCTCGGCCCTTCCTCCCAGGACAGCAGCACACAACCATGGTTTCACTGAAACGGAAGCATTTGTTTCGGTCATAAATACTTTCAAGTGCCAGCCATCATACTGGTCCAAGTTATGGAGTGAACCTCCACGGCTTCCTTCACCCTGGTGATTTATGGAGTCCTTAACTTCTCTGAGGCTCATTTTCATGTGTTCAGTGGAAGTAAAACCTGCCTACTGGACAGACATAGATTAAACATAAAGGATGTAAAACACAATAAATACTTAATTAGTAGCAGAGGAAGCGGTGGTTAGTAGAATCTCCCTTACTACCTGTCATCAACCATTGACATCACCATCACAGCAGCTCCACCACCAATACCACCATCACCGTTGTCACCACCACCACCGGCACCACCACCACTATCATCACTATCACCATCATCACCACCAACACCACCACCATCACCACCATCACTACCACTATTATCATATACCTAAACATAACACCACAAGACCATCTTCTGGGCCCAACAAATCCTTCCTCACTAGACTTCACCTCTCCAATAGCTGCCACACCAGCGACTTTTGTAAGGTGTTGGGATGTAGAGAATGGGGGGCTTGAGCTCTTCTTCCTTAGGATCCCCAGGGACAGCCATGCCCTGGCTTGATATATTTCTTTTAATATATATATATATATATATATATATATATATATATATATTTGTATACAGTGGTCTGCCTGTATGCAGGAGGGCACCTGATCTCATTAGGGATGGATGGTTGTGAGCCACATCATGTGGTTATTGGGAATTGAATTCAAGACCTCTGGAAGAGGAGCCACGGCTCTTAACCTCAGAACCATCTCTCCAGCCCAGCTTGATGTATTTCTATGCCAGTTCCTCCTGTAGTGCAGAATGCCAAGTGTCCTGAAAAGGGGAGAAGGAATCCCATGAACAGAGCCTCGCCCCTAGACTGGACCAGTGGGAGCTGGCTCTGGTTTCTTCCTGGTGCTATCAGACATAGCCAGATTTGCTCTGGCTAAAGCAAAACTATTTTAATTCTAAAGGGTTTTGTTTGCTTGGTTTTTAGAAGCCAGGAAAGAACAAGACAGTGGAGATGGGGACTAAAGAGAGGGGCCTGGACTAGAGGAGCTATGGTGTGCGATAGCCTTTCACACAGCCCAGCTAGAGCTACGCTCAGAATCTTGTCTCAGCCACACCCATACTACTGTCTGGAAGTTGAGGTTCACAAAACACTCTGACTAGAATGGAAAGCCCAAGTAAGCAAGGCCTATTCAAGACTCACTGTTTCCGAGAATCGCTTTGAAACCCTTGCAGCAGGTGCCTGGCTTGGGTGTGAGGAAAACCTCCCTTCGGGTTCCTAGAATGTTCTTAGGATGAGCTGAGCATGGGACTCCGTGGCCAAGCATGAGGGTGAGGTGAGCCCTTGCTGCCGGCGCTGTTGCTCACATCCGTGTGTCCCACCCAGGTTTCCAGTTCCCCGCAGTTCCAGCCCAAGTCAGCGTTTCTGCCAGCGCCAGCTCCTTTGCACGCCTGGCCCAGGTTCTATATAACAATTAGGACAGGAGCTAGGTAGGTCTCTGTGACCTAATATTCCACAAAGGCTTGGTTCTAAGGAGGACTAGAAAGAGGCCCAGACAGCATCCATAGTGACCACGCAATTGCTTGTGTCCCTTTTGAACCTGCCCCTGGCTCCTTTCGATGGACCTCTCACTGTCTCCTTAAGCCCAAACATTCTACCCAGTTGTATGGCAAATTCTTGCCCTCATTTTTCTACTTAGTCCCAGCATGCTCTGCACACTCCAGCCTTAGTGGCCCTCCCCAGTAAGCCTGGTTGAGGCTGGTGTGCCAGCAAACAAAAAAACCAAGGCCTGACTCCTACCTCCCTCTTATTACATCACCCTCTGCCCTCTCTGCCATGCCCCACTGGTCTTCCAGAGGAAGTCACGCATGCCACACGCCCTCACCAGGGCTCTCATTCTCACCACCTTCTGTGAACTTCCTGTTGAAGCTATTTTGAATATTTTCCAGATCAGGGTGCATCTTCTGAGTGCCGAGGGCCGTTGAAAGTGGGGGGGAAAGCAGGGGCCACCCAGTCGCTGCTCTCCAGCCCAGCCTCACGCTTTCCTGTTGTCAACACGACTTCTGCTCTGTGTGCTCACCAATGGTCACACAAGCACGATGCCTCACACAGCCAAGTTCCCGTGCCATTGCACTTGAAGTGTGTCTAGAGCCAGATAGAGGAGCGGATGCAGCTCACCTGCACCCATGGACGAAGTGGGGCACTGTGTCAGCTGCACCCAGGGCTGCACACACTTGGCAGTGGGCACATGAGATGGGCACAGCACACAGGTAGAATGGGGAACGGTGGAGATGCACGGGCACAAGGGTGGTAGCCAGGAGGCTGTAGGAGCGGTCATGGTGAGAAGGCAGGAAGATGCGCAGAAGCAGGTTCTGTAGGACCGTGGCAGCCTTGTCAAGGCATCTGGACAGTGTTCCTTTATTGGAGGAGACTGCTTGTTCATTTCCCGGCTGCCCAGACCCAAAATAATCACACAGAAACTATTGATTAAAACACTGTTTGGCCAATCACTTAAGCATATTGCTAGCTAGCTCTTACATCTTAAATTAACCCATTTCCATTATTCTATGTATTGCCACAAGGCTCGTGGTTTACTGATGAGGTTCCATCCACCATCTGTTCTCCTTCCGTGGCCACATGGCTTCTCTTTAACTCCACCTACTCTCTCCTCCTCCATCTGCTTGGAATTCCCACCTTGCCCTATTCTGTGCGCAATGGGCCCAAAACAGCTTCTTTATTAATCAGCGGTATTCACAGCATACAGAGGGGAATCCCACATCATTCCTTGGTGGCCATCAGGAGTGAAGTTCTGGATTGACTAGACTTTGAAGTGGTTCTGGGACATATTGTCTGTTCTCGGGTTTTTGTGACCCCAAGAATGACACCTGCCAAATCCTGTGTGCTTGGAGGACTCTGGAAGGGGAACCGGGATGTGGCCCAGAGGAGAAGGGAGTGATAAAGAGCTGCTTCTTTGCTGAGCAGCGGAGGGGGAAGGGGCTCGGATGGGGTCCACATCAGTGAGGTAAGGAGGAGGAGGAGGAAGTCAGGTCCTCCCAGCTGAGCTGCTGTAGGCCACACAGAATCTGCCAGAATCAGCTCACTATGTTGAGAAATAATCCTGATTAGAGGTGACTTCCTCTAACTCTCTCTTCTCACATGTGTGCGCACACACACACACAGAGACATGGACACACATACTTCCTTCCTTCTCCTTGACTGTGTAATTTGGCGGTACTTTGGAGCTGTGCCACGTTGGCTACCAGCGCACTAAGTGGTCGTTTCTACTCTCTCTACTACTGTTTATTTGACTTCCTCATCCTTGCCCCATGGTCTTGCTTGGTTGTCGGTCTGCTCCGTTCATCCCAAGGGACTATGCCGGGAGGCTCTGGAGATCTGGTACCACACCCCTTCCTTAGCCTGACAGAGAGGATCTCATTAATCAGCACGCCGCTCACATCCTGCTCC